TCTTGGCCAAAGCCCGAAGAACTTAGCACTAAGATCGTATTTCGTACATTGGCCGGCCAATGCGCGCACTGGCCGGGACGTACTGGCCAAAGTCCGAAACGCTTAAACTTGACAACGTATTTTGTACATTGGCCGGCCAATGCGCGCACTGGCCGGGATGTCCTGGCCAATGTTCTATCTAGACTGTGATCGCATTTTCATTACTCTGGGTGCGTTTTCATTGAGAGCAAAGTATTGTTTAGCTCTTGTTTGTATAGCATTCTATATGCAAGGCGACATGGATCAAAAGGGCCGTCAGACCATGAGACAGACATAGTAGATGGCTGTCAAAAGAAAAAAAATGTAAATCCATGTTAGTTTCCATATATGGGCTCTCGATAAAATAGTTACTGAGGAAGATCTTGAGTACATTGAACAAGAAATGGAGGTTGCCATAAATGCAACGACATCCTCAGCTAACACATCTACTGCCGTGGCGGAACGCCCAGACCAATTGCGTGACAATAATGTGGCCAACAGATTCTATATAGTTTGTGAAAAACATTGTAGTGCAGCTCATTCTTTTGGATCCTATGGCAACGATGTCCATGCTATGTGTGGAATACCCAATGAAGCAGACGAAGGGTACGGAGGGAACATTACCTGCAGATTGTGTCCCAACAAACAAGACATCATGGAACACAGATCAGCAGCTCATACTGGCTTGCAAACTCAAGGTGCTAAGATGCTTAAAACATCAAATACAAAATTTAAAGATGGTGAAGTGGGTGACTATGTACGCATCCGTTTTCCAGATGTTGACAGAGGTCACGGTGATCCCCGAAGCGTGATTGCAGTTGTCATGAGCGTCGAGGGCGGTTTCTACAAATTAGGAATGGAACATGGTGTTCTAAAACAACTGTATGCTAGAAGTGAGTTTTCAATTCTTCACGAAAAACTGCTCTTATTGTTGTCAGTTGGCACTGAGGAAAAATCACTACGAACCATCGCATCTTCACAATCATTGACCGGGGGCCAAGGCTACACTTGATGCAATTGCACAACTAAGTGCACAACAAATCGCTGCAAGTGTGAAAATAACAAACTGCTATGTAATTCTAAATGCCATAAAAATTCAACTTGTTGTAACAAATGATAATATTGATTGATTGAGACTATAGTACAATAAAAAATTTGAATGTTTCTGTCATTTACTTTAATTCATAATCAATAAAGACTTAATTTCGTGATCCTTACGGCATAAAAAAAATCTGCTCATGATCTTCTAATTCGGACTTTGGCCGGTCGTCTCTAGCCAGATGTTCTTCTAATTAAGATTTTGGCCGGTCCACCATGGCCAGTCTGCGGATTGGCCGGCCAAAGGCCGAAATCAAGCAAAGTTTCGGACTTTGACCGACCTATGGGAGGCGATATTGGCCAATGCGTGGATTGGCCGGCCAATCCTAGCATTGGCCGACTTCGTGCTTTGACCGTAACATATATATATATATATATATATATATATATATATATATATATATATATATATATATATATATATATATATAATATCAAGATGTAAAAGGTAGACAGACAGACAGATAGACAGACAGACAGACAGACAGACTGACTGATTTATTTGACATTGTGACAATTATGGTAATTTTATGTTAAGTATAATCGTTATCACTCTATGATACATATTAACAAGATGATTGTGTGCTATTAGAAGTTGATAATAAAACATCAATTCTCATACTGCTAGGCCGCTAACCCTTCCTGTTTTTATTACTTTTATTTTTCATTACTCGAATTATTTCTTAATGGCCACTGAGAAGCAAAGAACTGAAGCTACTACACCTTTCTGTTTTGAGCTCACTAAAGCACAGTAGTCATTGTTTTTTGTTGCACTGTTTTTCTCCAGAGTTCATCTAGTAAAAGTATTCAAAACATAATATGAATGTCCATTTTGTATATTTAATATAGATATATGAGTCAAGCCCGGGATTTGCACTCAAGACTTCCGTATGGAAAGTCGTACGCCCTACCACCCGTCCACGCTCACCCTCATTGAACTAGTTCATTTTACGAAAGCTCAAAAGTAAGAACAGGACCATCTTTGAAAATGGATCTGCATAGTGGTAAATTTTTGAATCTGTAACAGTGTCAGGCGGTAATGAAACACGCCATAAACATTTTAGAATAAAATTTGATGGTAACGTGGTCAGCGTTTTCGAGTCGGTCAAGCTCATGTTTTCTAAACCGAAAAGTCTCGAGTTCGAAACTTCTGGCTAATGAGACTCGTTAGTTGGGGACAGCCACTTTTCTAGGAGAGACAACTCCAAAATCAAACAACTGCTCCAAAGCCAAAAAGAAAAGCAGGCTGAAATCGGAGTCAATGGCGCATAATAAGTTGAGACGTGTACTTAATTCTGTTGGAGTGGACCTCTTTCCAACACTAAAATTAAGAATGAAGAAGAAGATCGTTACGGAAACAGAGTAAATGGCAAAATGTTTGCCATATATTTTTTATTTAAAATAAATAAAATTACAAGAGGGCATTTTATTACAAAATTTTATTGGAAAAATTAAAGCTATAGACATCAAAGTAATTATACCTCACTAGCCGGACATAATCATTTTCATATTAATACATAATTGTTTACACTTTATTATTGAAACAAAAAAACAATTTCAATACCAAGTACATTACAAATGGTATAAGAAACAAACAAACTTAATTTTGAAAAAAAGGTACCAAATAATATTCGATAAGCTGATACTAGTTTAGAAATTTTTTTCAAACAATTTTTACTATCTTTTAAGAAATAGATTCATATGCAGATAATAAATTATATATAGTTAAGGAAACTACGCAAGTAGATAAGAAAAGTTGTACATTTTGAGTTGTGTAAGATGAAAGCATTAAAGAAAAGTTTAGCTCAAACTAAACAAAGGCTAAAGCTTTTTTGACTCAGCATTCTATTTTAAGCATATAAGTTATTTTAATAAAAAGCATTCGGAAATAAATATTTGATTGTCAATCATTTTTTTAAACATCAAATATAAAAACAAAATTATCAAGATAAAAAACCATACGGTTGAGATTGACCTTAATGTTGATCCCAAAACAACTTAATTAAGCCAATAGCTTGCAAGATGTTAAATGCATTTCTGGCAATACTGTTTTAATAGACTCACCCGCATTCACCAGATAACAAATTTTATTGAACAGATGTTATAAAACATGTAACCGAAAAAAATTGAAAACAAGTTTTTATTGAGAAAATTTGCTGCAGCTGGTTAACAGCCGATGTACTTTACCCTGATTTTACTAGCAAATGTACAATTAAAAGTCAGTTCAACTTACTAAAACGAAGACATAAAAACCATATAAGAAAAAAAAAAATTGTTTAAAAGAAAGCATTTTTTAATAGAAAAATATCTTAATGTGTGCCATGATATTAAATTACAAATATAATTTACTTTTATGTTTATAATTAATTAAAAAGAATGAAATAACAAACGTAGTTCCGTTTTGTTGAATATAAAAAAAATTATGTTAAAGGGGTCATCCATAAATGACGTCACACTCGTAGGGGGAGAGGGGGTCCGTAATTTTGTGACGATGTGTGATGAGGGGGAGGATCAGATGTTGCGACGTCACATTTTTGCATTATAAAAAAGCAATGTTAGAAAACGAATTTTAGACGTTATTTCGCGGTTTAGATAACTGTTTTAATAAATCGTAATAGTTTAGACAAGATTTTGGAAAAATATCGATGTTTTAAAAAAAATCCAAAGCAATTTTGAGGGGGGTTGTAGGTTGAGGTGTGACGTCATTTTAGGGGGGGGTCTGGCTTTTTGTGACGACGTGTGAAGGAGGGGAGGGGAGGGGGGGAGGTAAAAATCGTCCAAAAAAGCGTGACGTCATTTATGGATGACCCCAAAGTTATAAAAAAATACAAAAGTCGATTTGGTTAAAATTGTCTTTTTGTAGCTAAACAAAATAAATATGAAATAATAGTACTAGTAAAAAGATATTACAAAATTAACTTCGCTAAACACCTGGCCAAAAAACCTGTCGAAAAGTTTAATTCTCATGTGTATTTAGTACACATATATCTTCTTAACACTCTTAATCAGTTTTAAAAAATCCAGCTGTACATTAATGATGATAAAACATTTTATCAATTATTTTCAACACAAGTTTACAGATTTTACAATCAAAACTATCTATATTTTTTAGATATTAAGTAAGAATGTCTGATTTTATCCTGAATTAAAATAATTTTCAAACTTTCTTTTTGCCATTACCATTTTTAAGCTTATATATTACAATACATATTGTAAATATCAAACAGAGGTTAAGTATTAGCTTGTTAACTAAAACCAGATGTAATCTCGAAAAATGAATGTTTCTTACATGTCCACATTTCACAGAATCAATTTAAGATAACCGTTTGCACAATGCATAATAAATAAAAACATCAATAAAAAAAGTATTGCTTCATTCTTAAATGCATGTTTGAATTTACAATCTTTGTTCTTGTTCGTGAACTATACTTTATCATTTTTATGGAAGGTCTACCCAAATGAGTAAGAAAGCATCTATTCTAAAATTTCTAATTTAAAAAAACTCACTCAAATTCTTTATTCCTTCAGTCTCATGTTTAAAGTCTACATGCGTAACTAAGATAAACACAAACAAGAATGTGCACAAATTCATGTATTAATCAATATTATTTACATCAATTCTAAATGAATTTGATTTAAACCCCGGACATAAAATTAATGTCTTTATTAGAATAATTAAATAAAAAAATCGGAAGAAAGTAAAGTAAAAGTTTCCCTTTCAAACCTCACGGTCTATGGAGCAAGTGAAGTAGAGTTCACTTGTTTCTGTGACCTCAGCATATGAGATAGTGCGGTCACTATGCCCAGCCGCCTTTACTTTCTCTATTATTAGGGCCTAATAGCTATCATTATAAAATTAATTTCAACAACCATTATTCAGTCATTCAAATAACCAGTCTATGTCCAAAAGGCCAGTAGTAGAGTAAAGGTCTAGGACAGGGTAAAGTCTCGTACTGTACTGGGTCAAAACAAAGAGGTATTTTAGACCAGTCTTCTACAGGTAATCTTGATATTGGTTCCTGAAACATCAACGTTCGCTGTAATCTTGGTGGGAGTTTGGTCTGTTTTAGTTTTTCTTCTCTCATAGGCCCAGTCCCAAGTAAGGTGGAGACTTCAATAAAAGCTAGTTTGACCAGTGGCCAGGGTTCTCTTTTGGCAAATGCTAGCTGAGCATATAGTGAGTCATTGGAGTTTAAGTTAACATCAGCATCGTCTTTAAAGTATTTGTCCTTACGCAAACTCGTCAAGTCAGATGTATAGATAAAGCCCGTGGCTAAAAAGAACCGAAGGAAATCAAAGTTTTTGTTCCGAGCAGCGCAGGTAAAATTTGATTCAGGGCATCGCGTGTAATTGCTCACTGAATGACACAGTGTAATACCGTTTATTAAGAGAAATTGAAAGATAATTTTTGAATCATCGTTCAGAACAGTGCGCACACATCTGCTATCTTGCAAAATAAATTCATTTAATAAATACCGGTGATTTTCATGCAGGATAGGATCAACACCAAGTTTCAAAAGCCTCAGAATGCATTCTTCCTGGTAGTCTTTTTTAACATTTAGTAAAGTATACACAATTAACGATCGATTTTCATTATCCAAAGTGTTTAAATTGGCACCAGCAGTAACCAGTACATTAATAGTTTCAAACAGACCATCCGCCTTTCTAATTACACGTTCATTTCTAATGTAATGACCTTGATTATTATTGAAATATTTGTTTATTCCAAGGTATGAGTCTTCTTTGTTTTTAACACCCATTACAGAATGCATGCAAGCGTTTCTTCCCTTACAATCTTGTATATTAACATTAGCTCCGTTATCCACTAAAGTTTTCACAATAAAGCTGTAGCCCACATTTACAGCGATCATTAAGGCCGTGATGCCTTCATCTGTAGTGATATCTGGATTCGCCCCTAGTTGTAGTAATGCATAAATAATTGAATAATTATACAATTTAGATCTGCAGTGCAAAGCCGTTTCCCCTGTTCTGTCTTTGATGTTTATTTCAGCTCCGCATTTAATAATACATTTAATATCTTCATAACTTTCCGCATAGAAAAGTGGCGTTTGTCCGGCATTGTTTTGTTCGTTAACATTCGCTCCGTTTTCTACTAAGAATGATGCGATGTGCAGATTACTACTTTTCACTGCAGCATGTAGTGCAGTTTCACCATTTTTGTCTCGTATGTTTATATCTGCGTTGTTTTTTATCAGACTTTGTACAATTATTGGAAACCCACGTTGAGATGCAATCATCAGAGGTGTTTTTCCCGTACTGGTAGCACAGTCTAGATTGCATTTGTTACTTATCAATAACGTTACCGTTTCGCCATGCCCTAATGAGCAAGCTATGTAAATTGCGCTTTCTTTGTTAGAATTAGTCATATTGATAAAAAATTGACAATTAGAATTTGTTTCAATTTTGTGCAAATATTTTCCATATGCATTAGCAATTAGGTTGACCTCATTTACAATTGTATTTTCTTGCCTGAATTCAACATTGTTTTGGTTACTATGTAATACGAGCTTTTCAACCAAAAGAGGAAATTCAATTCCATACTGTACACAATGGTGTAATGCTGTGTTTTTATTTTTGTCAACCAGAAACACGTTAGCTCCTGCTTTAAGTAAGACCTCGGCAGCCTCAACATTGCCGCTCACACAAGCTATCATTAGTGGCGTTTCACCATTTACATTCTGTTGATTTACTTCCGCCTTGTGTTGTAGCAGTAACTTTAAAATCTTTTTACTGCAATATCGAGCAGCTTCATGCAGACAAGTGTTGCCTTCAATGTCTGCTAAAGAAACGTTGGCACCGTGCTGGAGCATGGACTCAATTAGAGTTTTTGTTGTTATGAGTTCTTTATCGGGAACAAATACTTTCGGGGGCCTTGATGGTTGACCACGACGTGGACGTTTACGTTTGTATGAATTAAAAATCTGATCTATCTGGACAGTTCGGATACGTGGTTTGGACGCTATGTCCACATCCAAACGTTTTAGAACTATTATCAATGCAGGTATCTGATTATTATCTTTGACGTTGGTGTTAGCACCATTTTTCACTAAAAGTGTTGACATATTTACATCGTTATGTTCTAGAGCCTTCAATAGCTCAGAATGTCTGCCTTTATCTGCAAGAGCGCCATGTTTAAGCAGAATTCGAACAAGCTCAGTATTTTTGCAAAACACAGCAACATATAAAGGCGAGCATTGAGATTCACTCATCAAGTTTACATCCGCCCCGGACTCCATCAAATATTTTAATGGCTCTTGATGATTGTAAAGTAATGACAGGAAAAGTGGGGTGTTTCCAAACTTATCCACGGCGTTTATATTTGATACAGATTGGCATAAAGATTTTATGATGCCCAAATCACCAAAGATTGCTGCGATGTGTAAAGGAGTTCTATCATCCTCATCAACTGCGAGGGCATTTGCCCCTCCTTCTAACAGTATATTGACTAACTCAACTGATTTCTGTGCTGGGTGTCGAAGAAACGTTTGTGCTGCTATATGTAAAGGTGTGAGGTTATGACTAGAGGAATCCAACAAAGTCTTTTTCGCCTCTTTCCAGAGATCATAATTAATGCCATTTGCACTTCGATAAAACTGTGCAGTCTTTATGTTAACATCAGCACCAGCCTGAATCAGTTTTGACACAATATGTTTGTTAACGTTCATTAAAGCATAAATTAACGCTGTGGTTTGTTTGTGATCTGTAAAGTTCACATCTGCTTTGTGAACAATTAGGAGTTCTACGAGCTGCTCGTCTTGTTTTGTAACGGCCCGAATAAGGGGAGTAAACCCATGGTTATTAACTGTATTGACCTCTGCCCCATGTCGTAGTAAACATGTTGCCGTGTTTAAATCTGAGTTTTCAACACAAATTGCAAGCGGTGTTTGCCAACGTTTATCTAAACAGTTTATATCTGCTTTTGCCTCTATGAGAAGATTTATCATTTCTGTGTCTGATGCATTAGCTGCAACATGAAGTGGTGTTTGATGTTCTGAGTTTTTGACATCAACTTCAGCTCCAGCTGCCAGAAGTAACGAAATAATTTCAGACTTTCCACCGTAGGCAAAATGAAGAGCTGTATTTCCTTTTCCGTCTACTTCATGAATGTTAACTCCTTTTTGAAAGAGAAATTGTACAATATGCATTTTATTCGTTTGAACAGCTTTCATTAACATAGTTTGTCCCTCCCAATAGCGTTCATTAATATTAATGTTAGGTGAGTTCATTATTGCGTTAAATACATCATCTCTAGCAACGTCTTCAAATCTTAATGATGATATTTTATTTGTAATGCCACAGTTTATTAAATCGACAATTAAATCAAAGTGTTCATTTTTATAAGCTGTAGTTAATGCATGTTGATTAAAAGATACTTTCTCCCCTTCCACAACAGCATCCAAGAAGTTGTTATCCCTCGCCATCATTAAAGCCTCAAATCCTTGCTTACACGTAAAGGAAGCTCCAGCTCTAATAAGTTCCTTTACACACTCAACTCTTCGTCTTTCTACCGCTATGGTTAGTGCTGTGGTATCTCTAGAATAGTAACTTGTCACGTTTACATCAGCGCCTGCAGATATCAAAGTTTTTAAAGCCAGGATATTATTTTCAATAACAGACATCATCAGCGCTGAAACCCTGTCCATGTTTATACGGTTAATATCACTGCTCTGTAATCTCCCTTTATCTCCACTTTTAGCTTTGTTAAATACGTCCATAACAATGCGATAACTGTTTAGGTCATCCATTGTTTCTAACGAACGATCAAATCATTCAAATTAATAACTACAATGATAAAATGAGCTTGATCCGCTTTTTACTTTTTCGTATACAGAATATAGAGCAAGTATTGTAAGCGTGCTCAAAATTCACATAAAATTTTGACACTTTTCATCCTTTTACGCCTGAGTACTTCATCATATGCGGAGTATGGAGACTTATTTTAATCGGGCAAAAGCTATAAATGCAGATTTATCAAAATTTCGGCGTTTTATGCGTAGCCGATTCAGAAAAACTGGGCTTTGCAATTCCGTCCGTATGTCTGTTTGTGGGGATGTATGTCTATGAACACGATAACTTGAGTACCGTTACAGCTAAGTTGATGAAATTTGATATTATATCAAATTTGTAGTTCTGTATCTTTTTTTAGCGATTTCCGATAAACGGAATTGGGACTTGTTCTACTTTTTCAAAAAACTATTACTTGCGTAATATTTCAGATAGATAAACAAAATTTCACCTATAAGTAAAGTATTTAATTTTCTGCCCTCTGTCAAATTTTGAGTAATTTCCGTTGTCTGGAAGTAGTAATTTACGCTATTTCAGATTTCTCAAAAAACGAAAATGAATTTGTAAAGTACCGAAAGTTTAAATAATTAAACATGGACTAAAAGTTATGTTTATATCCCGCGTTGCCATCCCCCGTATTGGGATATTAGAATATTCGAGAAAGTTGAGGTGAGATCACTCCCGGTTTATTTCAATTGTCATAATTCGTTACAGCGCAATTTCGTCAATAATCTGCAAATGGAAAAAGTGTGTTTAATCAGTTGAAAATTTTATAAACTGCAAATTTCAGTTATATTATCTCACATTAATAGCAGGCGGTATTAAAATGTCTACGAAATGTATGCTCTAACAAGGAGTAATTTAAACTAAACATGATACACAGCTTTATAGGCATGTTTTAATATTTTTAATGCATTTTTTAAATTCATGTTTTAATAAAAGATAATTGCTCTCAGTAGAGCCTTTAAAATGAATATAAAAAAATCCTTACACCGAAAAAAGAAAAAAACACCTAAAACAATGAAAGAAAACCGAAAAATTTGAAAATGGAACATCGGGGCACTGTAAATAAATAAGAAGACTGGCATCTATTTTCCCGACGTATGTGAAAACAGCTGGTATAGAAATGGCCATACAATCTAGATACTATCAACAAAAGATAGAATAACTTTTTTCGGGTAACAACACAATTAAATATAATAAAACTCGGAATATAGACATAATTTTATAAACTTATTTTTAACTTGCTTTTCCTGACTCGCTCGTGTCTGTCTTCTCCCTGTCTAGATCGAAAAGGGCGAGCGAAATTTTGGTCACTTCTAGCCATTCAATTTTTCTAAAATTCGGTAAGTGGGTCATGACCCAATGACAATGCAATATGACATTAAATTTTACTTATTGGATGCCTAATTAATAATTGATGAATTAATTACAATTTTCTGAAATTAGTAGGTTGTCCTAAAAATGCATAAAAACGCTTTAGTAACAAGCTTTTATGCATAAATGCACTAAAAAGGAGAAAATAAATTATTTTCTTTAAAAAATAATAAATCACGACTATTTAAATAACTATAAGAAAAGCGTGCTTCTCTTTCAAAATATTAGTAAAGGTACCCAATAGATAATATAGTGACCCCCGCTTTTCTTTACAGATATTTAATTATTAGTCTTTTATCGTACGTTTAAAGAATATTATTATCTTCTAATTTTATTGCATTATTGCATAAAGGCTTGCTATTTAAACGTTTTTTATGTTATTGTTTTTCTTAATGAATTTTTCCCACGTTTTCTTTAACTTGCTTTCTCTGTTTGTCTTTCCAATCAAATCTTGCGATCGAAATTTCTGGCACTTCCCAGTTAGCTAGCGCGCTGAAATTTTCAGGGAAGCTTTCTTTTGGATGACCATTGAATATTCAATTGTTATTATTACTAAATTGATCAATGGAAACATTTTATTGAGCATTTTAGACCGCTATATAATCTATATATATAATCCTCCTCTGCTAGCCATTAGAAAAAAAAACCAGCGACGCGTACCTCGCGCGCAGTGAAGCGAACGATCACATGTCGCCACAGGCTTAGGGGCAGAGAATTTAGCTTGAACCGAGTTTAAACTTACAGAAGGTAGGCCAGTTTGGGGGAGACGATATGGTCGAGTGGTTGGGCACACGATTGCTATCCCACTCGACACGGGTTCAAATCTATGTGTTCTAGTCAGTAACGTATTCAAACAACGTGTTTTTTACGAGTTGTCTTTTTACGAGTTGTCTTTTTACGAGTTGTCTTTTTACGAGTTGTCTTCGTTTACCCAAAAAAAGTGAAAAGATAAAATCGATAGCAAGATTTTAATGCAAACAAACAGACAAAGACTAAAAAGTAGAAAATAATAATCATTAAAAAAGTTTTAAAAAACCCACGTTTTCTGATTGAACTAAAAAGTAGAAAATAAATGCTATAGGCCCTACATCACAATAATGCAAGCGATCACTCTACTATAAGCAAGCAAAAACGTGGGGCGCCGTGATTTTCTTACAGTTTCTAATACTGTTGACTCTCTACAAGCTCCCTAATAAAAGTCAATAGTATTATCTAATCAATAGTAATATAACTTTTACTTCGACGCCCCACGTTTTTGATCGCTTATAGTAGAGTGATCGCTTGCATTATTGTGATGTAGGGCCTATAGCATTTATTTTCTACTTTTTAGTTCAATCAGAAAACGTGGGTTTTTTAAAACTTTTTTAATGATTATTATTAAATCCTAAATTTTAAAAATTAGAATAGAATCTCGTAGAAAACAATTCCGCACCGAATGAACAGCAATCAAGGTGTATATAATAGTGCCCGTGGTCGTAAAAGTGCGTGAAATTACCAACAGTGCTAATCAAGCGAATGCTAATGCTAAATCTTGTTATCTACACTTAGTTTAGAAATTATGTGCGTAAAAATTAAATACTTTTGCATTTTCAATGGAGAAGCAGGGGTCGGCGTGGTCGAGTTGGTAAAGTTCACGGTCTCGAGTTCGAACCCTCGGGCAGATGAGTCTCATTGGGTGGGGACAGCCACTCTTCTAGGAGAGACAACTCCAAAATCAAACAACTGCTGTCTTGTAGTTTGTTCTTGGCTGGACAAAGGCTATGAAAGCAAATCCAAAAAGAAAAGAAGGCTGAAATCGGAGTCAATGACCCTAATGGAGCATAACCAGTTGACACGTAACTTTAAGTGTGTTAAAGGCGTTGTCGAGTCGGCAAAAAGCTCATGGTTGTTAACTCGAAAAAGTGTCGAGTTCAAACCCTCTGGCAGATAAGGCTCGATCCCAACACTAAAATTTAAGAACGAAGAAGAATGAAGAAGAAGATTAGAAAAGAAGGTATCTGGAAAGTTTGAATAAATGTACTTCGTTAGAAGTAGGTCAAAATTGAGCTACAGTATTTGCCACAAACGGACTCGTGAGCTAATTAAAAGCTTTTAAAAACTGAAGCCATTTTAGTTTGTTTTCCATTTTAAATAGCAATCTAGTTAAACCAGATGGAATTCAACCTAGCGGCACTTTAAACAGAACAATTAGAAATACGGCAACAAGAAAAAGATGCCCTTCAGATAGAAAATTTGGAACCAGAAAAGAAAGATGACATTCCATAATGCATTTATTGTAGATGAAACAAACTTCTAGCAAGGTCGTAACTAGTTATATACCTAAGAGACCGACGAAAAATTTACAGAATAACTTAGAGCCAGAACAGGCAGCATTATCGACTACATCTACAAAAAATATCTAAATATGCATAATGGCAATTCAACAAACAAGTATTACATTTTAAAAAAAACCAACGAAACCTGTCTTTCGTTATACAACTCAATGATAGCAACGTTAAATAAGTCTTCTTTAAGGTGCCAATAGAAAGAGACTAACATAAATTAATAGCAACAAAATAAATAAAATAAATATAACTAAATAAATTAAAAACAACAAACATTAATAACAAAAAAAATTGATAACAAAATTATTAAATCTAAAATTGATTAAAACTAGATTATTAATAAAACTACAATAAAATATATCGTTGAAAAAAAATCTAATAAAAAGAAATTCCATTTCTTCACAAATGACCACGTGTAACCTATATTGATTACTAGCAAACGATATCAGTTACAAGTGAATTATAGGCCTATTTTTTATAAGTGTTGTAGGCCTATTTAATTTTTAAAAATAAAATTGTTATTTGTCATAACGCAATTGGCTTTTCTACACGTTGAACGATATTAGTCACAAAGCAAAAAAAAATTAGCTAAAAATCCGACACATTTAATGTAACATAAGCTACCAATACCTATTAAAAATGTAAAAAAAAAAAAATTGCACCCCCCCCCCGCCTTTAACTTTTCATTTGCACCCCCCCCTCAAACTTTCGATTTCCACCCCCCCCCCCTCGAACTTTTCATTTGCACCCCACCCCTCAAACTTTAAATTTGGCGCCCCCCCCCCCTAAAGTCAGCGCCCGGGGACATATGTCCCCTCCGCCCCCCCCCCCCTCGCTACGCCTCTGAGAGAGAAAGAGAGACAGAGAGAGAGAGAGGTGCGCATATGGGCTTTTATATATTATGATTATATGGTCTAAACTGTCTCTAAACCAAACAAAAAGCCCAAAATAAACAGGGCAGAAGATTCATATTGGTCAAAAGATGCAAGAGGGATTGATTGGACACCTTGCGCAAACCTACAAAATCTATCACTAGTAAGGCATTTGATTTAAATCCCAAGGAATATTTAAAAAAAAATGGTAGATATTTATATCAAAACATCGACCATATGTAAAGCACAAGCAGCCAGAAGTCGTTGACACAAGAATCGCCGAATACAAAGGAAAGATGTCGTCGTGTTCTTAGACTGATTGACACTTTCCGTAAGATGAGGAAGATGGTATCGTAACTAAACTTAAAGTCGCATATACACTCTAAG